ACGTAGCTCCCTTGCACAAGTATTTATATTCCATTTTCTAAAGGCCGCTCCTCTGCATAACTGTCTTCTCTCCCCCTCCCCATCGATCCACGAACTCTTGCCTCGATCCAAGTACCTGAGTAGTTTGCACAGCGCCGTATCCAACGCGTCCGTATGCCTAGTTTCCAGCACCATTCCCGTGAGCCCACTTAGCGCTGCTCCCTGTACAAATGCGATAAACATCATCCTTCGTACCTCTCTCGGCGAATCCGATGCCCAGAAAGGCCCACCCTGCCGCCAAGCTCTTCGAACTGCAACTATTCTCCTTGCTATCTCGCCCCCCATGTTGCCCGTGCTGTGCAGATAAGGCCCCGGAACACGTAATTCCCTTCCCGACTCCCCCAGTAAACCACTCTTCTTGTGCCGTACCTGTCTAGTAACTTCATTCGACCCTGGTCCCATGATAGTAAGCAAATGCCCTGTCTTGGTAGGGTTGAGTCTCCAATTACCGTCCAACAGCGTGTCTTCCAGTCTCCTCGTAGTGTGGTTAAGCTCTGCACACACCCCATAGGCCGTTATGACGAGGGCTCGAGGGGAGGAAAGAGGTGAAGTAGGTGAAGGAACACAAGGAGGGACAACGAAGAGCGGGGAAGACAGGGAGGAGGAGGAGAACGAGGAGGAAAAAGAGGAGGAGGAGGTGAAGGAACAGGGATCCCTTTCAGGGAGACGCCGACGAGGAAAAGGATGAGTGTAAGATGATGGGAAGAGGGAGAACGGAAAGAGGAGGAGGGTAAGGGGACTGCAGTTGACCGGGGATGATGACGGCGATGACGTTGATGATGATGACGATGACTATGCCGACGACTACGCAGACGACGACCAACAAGATGTTGATGATGTGGATGATGATGCTGAAACGTACGATGACGATAATGGCGATGGTGATCACGATGCTGATGATAATGGTGATCATGATGATTGTTTCGATGGTGATGACGAAACTGACCATGACCATGACGATGAAGATGACGGGGATGAGGATGAGGATGACAATGATGACGATGATCATGACCCTAGCTAGAACTTGAACGCGCGCGAAGCGCACGCGATGGTTCTAGTGCACATCTATGTGTATGCATGTATATATCTAGAGGTATGTATGTCTGTGTGTATGTATGTATGTATGCACGTACGTACGTATGTGTGTATGTATGTATGTATGTATGTGTGTATGTATGTATGTATGTGTGTATGTATGTATGCATACATGCATGCATTCTTGCATGCATGCATGCATGTATGCATGTATGTATGTATGTTTGTTTGTATATACTGTTGTATGTTTACTTGTATGTATGTATGTATGGATGTATTTATGGATGTATGTATGTATGTATTCATGTATGCATGTATGTATGTATGTCTGTATATATGTATGTATGTAAGTATGTATGCATGCATGTATGCATGCATGCATTTATGTATGTATATATGCATGTATGAATGTATGTCTGTATGTATGTATGTATGTATGTATGTATGTATGTATGTTCGTTTGCTTGCTTGCTTGCTTGCTTGCTTGTTTGTTTGTTTGTTTGTTTGTTTGTATGTGTGTGCATATATACATATATATATATACATAGGATGTATGGTTTATTTGTCGTCTAAAATCCGCCTGTAGGGGTGCACGCCCGACCTAACCGTGGAGCGGAGCGACACGCTATCTGCTCGTACGACACAGCGCGCCACCGGGGCCGCCGCCCCGACCGCAGACATCCCGCGCTTCCATGTTTTTTGACCGGTGCGTGCTCCCGCGGACCGCTCAGCCGCTTCCCCGCGGGCCGGCGTCTCATCCCAGGGGCCCTTCTCCGACGGCCCCGTGAGCTGGAGATCCGCCTCCTCTCCGGAGGCCCCAAGACGACGACAAGCCGGGGCGGCCCGAGATGCCTTCAAGACGGCTCGGGAGGCCCCCAAGAGGGCCACAAGAGGACCCCCAGCGTGGCCCGAGGGGGTCAAAATCATGGAGTTCCCGCTGGTCTTGGAAGGATTACGGTGACTTCACCTTTACGGGCCTGCAGCTCCAGACAGCCACAGAGGCTTCCAAGAAGGCCCCAAGACGGCCAAAGGGGGGCCCCAAATGGCCCAATAATCCTCCAAGACGGCCCCACCCAACACATCCCAAACTTGCCCATAGGATCTGCTTCCCTTTCTGGGAAGGAAGGAAGGAAGGAAGGAAGGAGGATGAGGAGAACGGCGAGAGCGAGGATGATAACCCCCGCCATCTCGAGGTGGACGCAGGGCTCGTGATCGCCAGCCTCGTCGCCATCCACTTGCACCGGAGTCTGCCGAGCTCGGGCCAGAGGACGACGACGACGACGACAAAGACGACGACCACGACGAGGAGACGAGGACGACCCATGGGCCCCATCGCGCCGCGAAAGAACCACGACGGAGGTCGCTCTTCCCACCTTGTCGCTGCGGGCAAGAAGCAGCCGACCAGGGAATACCTGGCGACCTCGATTCTGGATCCCTCTGCGCGCCGCGTAATGGGGGGCCGATAAAGGGGGGGTAGCGAGGACTGCAGAAACGGGGTCCTTCGGGGCCCCCAAGGGGGCCTCGAGGGCCCGAGAAGTGAACCTTTCTCCCCCCCCCATGTGCCGCCCCACCCATTTAGCGACGCCTAGTTCGGGGGAGCGCAAGACCCGAGTAAGCCGGAACTCGGGTTTGCCGACGCTTTTCTGACGAGCGCGCCCTGTCTTTTGACGGTCCGGTTGTCGTGGGATGTCTGCAGCGGGAGCTCGCGTCAAATCTCAGAGTGGGCCTCGTCATTTTTTATGATGGCCCCGTCGGGCCAACCCGAGTCCCCCGTACGTACCCGAGTCTTACGTCTCCCCGACTAGTCCCTGCCCCCCCCGCCGTGCCCTCGCGAGGACGGCGCCCTCGCCGGCCTCGCCGTCGCCCCGCCGGGCCCTGCTCTTCGGGGCCCCCGCCCTCGAGGAGGGCGCGGTCCTCTCGCCCCTGCAGCGCGAGGACGACTGAGGGCGCCGGCGCGCCGCGCGCGCGCCGGGCGAGGGGGCGACGGAGCGAGGCCCTGCCGCCAGCCCTCCCCAAAAAGCAAAACTAGCATGAAGTCGGGCCTGTCCCTCTACAGGGGGGTGATTCAAAAACAGTCAAACAATAGCCTGAGACTTATGTTTTGAGTATTTTGAGGCATCTTTTTTTTGGGGGGGGGGGGGGGGAATTTTTCGTCCAAAATTCCCCTGTGGGGGGGGGGACAGGCCCGACCTAAAACGAACAACACATCGTGCTCGGGCTGCCGGGACGGCAGAGCCGCTCTGGGGCTCGGCGCGTTCCAGGGAGGGGCCCTGCCTGCCCTGCGCGTCCCGCCCTCGCGGGAAGGGCCGGCAGGAGGCAAGCGGCGGCGGCTGCGCCAGCAGAAGCGGGCGGAAACCCGGCGGAAGGCGGCGGAAGCACACGCTGGTCGTTGAACGTGGGTATTTCTGGATTCCCAGGCTCCAATCTGCTGTGGCCGCCTGCCCACTTCGAGACTCGATGAGCTGTTGCTGAGTTGCTGTTGCTGGGTTTGTCATTTTCTGGGCGGCCCCGAACCCAATCTACTTGATCCGCCTTCCCACGTCATGTTTTTACATGCTTGTTCCGACCTGCGTGCAAATATGAGGTGCCAACTTCAGAGCTTCTGGAGGTGGGCAGATGGGTACCTGTTACCGCGAACAAGCAGGCAGAGGAGTTGTGCGCTTTTTGCGTCGCTCGGCGATCATTTCAGACGTGTGTGTGTGTGTGTGTGTGCGTGTGCGCGAGTGTGTCTGTGTGTGTGCGTGTGTGTGTGTGTGTGTGTGCGTGTGTGTGTGTGTGTGTGTGTGTGTGTGTGTGTGTGTGTGTGTGTGCGTGCGTGCGTGCGTGCGTGCGTGCGTGCGTGCGTGCGTGCGTGCGTGCGTGCGTGCGTGCGTGCGTGCGTGTGTGTGTGTGTGTGTGTGTGTTTGTGTGTGAATGTTTGTGTGTGTGGTTGTGCATGTATGTGTGCGTTTTCGTGTGCTGGTGCGTGCGTGAGTGAGTGAATGAGTGAGTGTGTCAATGTGTGCTTGCTTGTTTTGTGTGTGTTTTCGCAGCGAGCAGGATTGAAATAGTTTTCGGCCAGCCAGCCCTGCAAGTTTTTTTCCGCGGGGGCGGCGGCAGGAGGGGTAGAGGATTCAAGCATGAAGAACAGCGTAATCTTTTTCACCACGCGGACCAGTTGATTTCCAGCCCAGCCCCCTGCGAAATTCATTATTAATTTCGTACTCGTTCTAATATCTCATCCAGTTTGAGACTGGAATCATTGGCCTGATGTCTTTATGGCCGCCTTCCGCATGCGTTCCGATTCCCTAGAGGCCAGCGGGGTTGGTTCGTTACTGACTCGCTTCAAACCCGAAGCGGCCTCAAACTAGTGCGACGAGACACCAACGCACATCACCGATTCGTTTCGGCAGAGGAAGGGCAGGCGGGGCTGGATGATATCGGCTGCACGTAAGACCCAGACCCCCGACGTCGTGATTCTTTCACCACGTCGCCCCCCAAAGGTCTGGACCCCTTCCCCAGGACCGATTTATCATACCGTGCCGTTTTGTGACGGTCCCAAGGCCCGGCAAGGGCCCCCGGAGGCCGAGAATAGAAAAAAAACCTTCCCGTCGTGTTTTTGTTCACCGCGCGAGGGGGTATGGGGAGTTCCCCCCTTTCCGGAATCCCCCCCCCCTCAGCATTGGCTTGCGGCCGTGGATCACTCTCCCTCACGTCTCCCGGACGCCACGCACGGTTTTGGACCACCCTTTCCGTGCAGCTGAGAGGGGGTGGGGCCACGACGACAAGGAGGACAGAGGAGCTGGACGAGCGAGGCACGAGGGAGCAGGATAATGGTGAGAACGAGAGGGAGAGAGACAGAGGAAGAGAGAGAGAGAGAGGAACAAACAAGAAGAAGCACAAACAGAAAGAGAGAGAGAGAGAAACAAAAAAATAGCTCCCCGAAGGCGCATGCGCGCGAAGAGGCGATCGAGGACGGCCGCGCAAGCCAGCGAGGCGAAACAACCGTCGCTCCGCCTCCCTCCACGCACCTCCTATTCTCCTATCCTCAGGTCGGGCGTGCCCTCCTACAGGCGGATTTGGGATGGAAAATAATAAATCGTCACACAATACACCAAAATGGTCAACATTAGTCGAAGAATCGTCTCCAGATGATTTTCTCTCTATCTTGGAACATTCCCCCTGTACAGGGACAGGCCCGACTTACTCCCTCCCCCCCCCGCCCCCATCCCGTGGCAGCGGCTCCGCGCCAGGAGGCCTCCGTCGCCGAGGCTGCCTGCGACTCGAGACGTGGCCCGTGCGATACCTGTCCTGCCGTGGCGAAAGTGTGCCAGGTTGCAACCGAGACTCGGGTTGACCCCGAGAGGGGGTCCAGCGACAAGGGGGTGGTGCACTAGATTTGGTGCAGTAGACTTGGTAGGGATTCAATACGCTCAGGGCGTGCAGCACATGTCGGGGCGCAGATGTATTGCTGGCTCTTCGCGTGCAATACATCACTTGCAACACCATGCAAAACGATTCTCTGGCGCAAGACATTTGCAATCCAATTGCCCCGAATATATATATATATATATATATATATATATATATATATATTGCACCACCCCCTTTCAGCTGGACCCCCTTTGGGTCACCCAAAACCATCAGCGCTTTGGCCTCGAGAGCGGCCAGGGGTTTTTCATGGCGTCCCGCGAGGTGTTCGACGGGCCTTCCTGGCGCCCGCACCTTATCTCTGAATGTGGAAATATTGGGAAGTATTGTCGCTGGCAGGGCACCCTTGGACCACGGGATCGTTTCCGGGACTTGTTCTGGCGAGGATGCGAGGCGGATTCAGCCATGGTCACGTCTTGGCCCCAAAGGCCGAAATGACCCCCACAAACTTCCCAAGCCAGAGCGCCTCGACTTCAAATGGTGCCCGCAACCTGCAAACCATTCCGCAGAGGGAACAAGACCACAAAAGCATGCAGAGACTGGACCCGAGCGTCGATCTTCGGTTCCAGGCCGCCCGAACCAGGCCACTGCAGGTCGTGTCGGGGCACCGCGCAGCATCGAAGGCGCGTCGACGAGGCCAAGGCAATCCGGAGCGCGACGTCGTTCTCCATCCCGGCGCCGCCGCCGCGTCGGCGATGCATCGGTCGTGCGGTGCGGGCCTCCCCAGCCCCGTCTTCCCCAGCCCCGTGGGCGCGGCCCTTCTCGATCCGCCTGATCAGGGGCAACGTTCGGGGGGATGGGCTCGGGGGGGGATGCATCGACACCCATCGACTAGACGTAAGAGTGACCTTTCGCCGGAGTGACCTCTGGTGCGGGCACAGATGGGTCTTCGGATGGCTGAAAACGCGGCGGTGGCAGCGGCTTGCGCGCCCAGGTGTGGTCTCTCCGCGGCCCCCAAAAAGCCGCACACCAAAGGTCACTCTTGCCCAGGGTCACTCTTGCGTGTAGCCGAACCCGATCGTCCACTGATCGCCGATAGGGGCCTCGTAGCCTAACCCGCCCAGGACCGTGCGGATTGGCCAACGGGGACCTGTCGCTGATCCATCGGCGATGCATCGCCGATTCCAGGTCGATGTTCCCCCCCCCAAGACCCAGTCTCGCTCCATCGCCCCCGCTCACCTGAGGAGCTGTCGACCCACAGGACCGCGCACGAGCAGGAGGTCCGGATGCTCCGCGAGACCCTGCGCTGGGCGCTGCGCGCGCGCGAGGACGAGGCGGGTCAGAAGCAGCAGTGCGAGGAGCGCCTCGTCAAGGAGAGAAAGGCCACAGACGGCGAGGCTGGGGGGGCCAAGACCTCCTCCTCCTCCTCCTCCTCCTCCTCCTCCTCCTCTCCCTACGCTCGTCTCCTCCTCCTCCTCCTTCTCGTCTTGCTCCTCCTCCTCCTCCTCCTTCTCCTTCTCCTCCACCTCCTCCTCCTCCTCCTCCTTGTCCTCCTCCTGCTCCTCCTCCTCCCCCTACGTCTGTGTCCACCTCCTCCTCCTTCTCCTCCTCCTCCTTCTCCTCCTTCTCCTCTCCCAGCCGTGCGTGAAAGTTATCTTCTCACAGAGGGGCATTTGGCCCGCGGCTCTCGGAGTGCGCGAGGGGAGAGAACGAGAGGGGGGGGAAGGGCAAACCCGAGCACTCAGGCTGCTGCTTCTGTAGCATCGCCCACGGCCGTCGGCCCGGCCGCGCACCGCCAGAGGTCACTGCTGGCTTGGGGTCGCTCGTGTGCGTGTGGCCAGACGCCGCCCCCGCCGCTGCGCCTGCCACCTCCGCCCACTGTTCTGCTCCTCTCGCCTCTCGTTCGGTCGTCGCCCCTCCCTCCCCGCTGATCGCTTCCACCGTCTCTCCACGCTGTGTTCCTCCTCCTTCTCCTTATCCTCCTCCTCCTCCTCCTCCTCCTCCTCCTTTTTTTAAGCGCCAGCTAGGCCCGAGACCCTGTGGGGCCGCGCGCGCCAGCCAGCGCCGGTTGGCCCCTCGCCCCGCGGCCCCCCCCCTCCCTCCCTCCCGCCTCGCCCCCTCGTTCGCCGCGGGATGGCGACACTGGCGCGTCGGCCGCGGCGGCCCAGCCGCTCCGCCGCCGAGCGCCGCGCCCAGTACCGCCGCGCGGACGGGCGGGCGGCGGAGCACCTGAGGGCGGCGTTCGCCGCCATCGACGCCCACCGCGGCCAGCGCCTCAGCGGCCTGGCCCAGGCGCTGCGCATGGTGCTGCAGGGCGCCCACCCCCCAGCAGGTGCTGCTGGAGAACCTGGAGATGACGGAGGGGTGGTGGTGTGTGCAGCCTCGGCCAGGAAGCCCCCAGGACCCCGTGGACGACCTCGGCGCCGCGCTCGCGGACTGCCGCCTTGCCCCGCGGAGGCGGGCGCGGACGTCGCCGCCTTCGACACCGCGATCGAGGAGCTCGGCGCCTTGGCTGCTGCAGACCCGCGCAGCGGCGGCGATGATGATGCGGGCGTCGATGGCCGAGGTGGCGCTGGTGGCGCCGTCTCGCTCGACGCCGAGCCCGACGCCGCGGTCCCCCGCCCGCCTCGGCGCGTGCCGAGGGCTGCCCCGATGCCCCGCACCGCGTCCAAGCCGCCCTTGGACCCCCAGGCTGCTGCGTCGGCGGTGGCGCTGGCGGTCCACAGGCGCAAGGGTGCGGCCTCGGAGCGGACCGCCGCCATCGAGGCGGAGATGGCGTCTGCAGGCTCTCCTTCCGAGGACCTCGAGCTCGTAAGAGTCAGGTTCGAGGAGCCGCCGCCGCCATGAGGAGGAGGGATGGTGACCGTCATGGTTCAGCTCGGTCGAGGCCGCTGGCCCGGGGGCGCACGACTGGGCAGGTGGTCCATCGTGGAGTTCGTCTTCGCGGAGCCTGCTGCAGCCAGCATTTTGCTGAGAGCTCCTAGGGGAGCAGGGTGAGTACGCCTCTTCGGAGGGGCAGCACCCCACCTCCCCCACCCTTCGAGGGAGCGCCTAGGGGCGGCTGGGGGCGCGCGGGGCGCCCCAGCATTTTGCGTTCGTCGCCGTGCTCTACGACTTGTTCGTGTACGGCCTCGTTTTCGCCTCCACGCTGAAGGAGCCGATTCTCCCCCGCCTGACCCGCAGGGGCGGATGGGGGAGGCGGTCGCTGGATCGTCTCTTCTGGTTTGACCCACTCCACTCCTCCCGTCTTTTTCTTTATACATACTTCCGCCTTGTCGCATCCCCACACGCGCTGGCAAGGGGGGCCAGTTTTTGTTCCTGAGACTTCCTCGCCGTTTATGATCCTCAAGCTCGAGTCGGGTCGGGCCCGTCGGGTCGGGGTGGAGGGTCGGGCCCGTCGGGTCGGGGTGGAGGGATCGGATGGGGCAGCGGGTGGGGCGCCAGGCCCTGCAGTCGCATGTCCTGCAGTCCTATAGTCCTCCTCCTCCTCCTCCTCTTCCTCCTCCTCCTCCTCCTCCTCCTCCTCCTCCCTTTTTGTCCTCTTCCTCCTGCTATATACTCTTGCGCGCCTGCGCGATGCCGGCTCCATCGGGGGAGACTCCTCGAGGCCATCCCCCCCGCCTGGCTAAGCCCGGCGAGGCGGCGAGGCATAGTGAGAGGAAAGGGGGTATGGAGGGGGTCCGCAGCGTTCGGGTTCGGAAGGGGTTGGTTCTGGCCACACCATTACCGCCCAACGACGATGTCAAAGTTGTTGTCCCAGAGGGATGGGGGGTGAAGGCTTCTAGGAGCTTATGTAGCGGATACATACAATTTCTGGCAATTCATGTAGATGATCGAGCGTCGAAGATCTGGGCAGTTCGGAGACCGTCTGTTCAGGCCTCCGAGGGGGACCCCTGGAGACCACTCCCCCCCGCCCTCTTCCTAATGTTCCCCTTCTGCTCCTTTACTTTATCCATCCTCCTCCTTCTCCTCGTTCTCCTACTAATCATTGCCCTCCTCCTCCTCATCCTTTTCCTCCCTTGGTGTACGTCCTGCGCTGGTGTCAATTCGGGTACCTAAAGGTCCCTGGTGGTTTCTGGAGGGGACTCCACGGTTCTCTTCCGCGCGTATTCAACGTCTGAGCACGTTCGGCCGCCGAATGGTCAACCGAATGGGCTCAGTCCCGGTACGGCGGTGGGAGCTGAGTCCGTCTAGCCGCCGAAGGGTATTGATTTTGGGTCCGCTCGGAGGCCCAATGTGGTCCACCGCCGAGTTGGCTTAGAAGGGATCCCTGGGGGAAGCGGCCATTGGGGGCATCTGGAGGCTTCGGAAACGGCCAGTATCATCTAAAGTTATCGACCCTCGAGGGAAGAATCGCCGGGATCCCCAGGACCGCCGCCGCTGCCATCGTCGTCGACGTCGCCGTGGCCGCCGCCGTCGTCGGCGTCGTCACCGCTAGTTGTCGTCGGTCGTTGGTCCCCGATCCCCTTGTCCGATCCGCGTTTGCTACGCAGGCTTGCGCCTTCCTTAGCAGCCCTGTCAGGCCCGCGTTTCCGAAAAGGACCTCGTTTACAGGGGGGGCTACTATGTGCCTCCAGGCATCTTGTTGACTCCCCTGGCCTCGGCGGGGAGGGGGTGCACGCCGTGCCGTGGGCCCACGACAGTCCTGGCGGTGGCGTGGTGGCTTCGTGCGGGTGCCCTCTGCGCACCGGCAGCACGGGCCGCCCTCTGCGCGGGTCGTCCCTCCGCCCCCCGCTGCACGGGCCGCCCGGCTCCCTGGGCCCGCCTGCGCGTGGGGGCTGCCACGGCGCCTGCGCGCCGCCGGAATGTTCAAGCTTGGGAGCAAAAATAGTCAGGGGACGATTGCTCGATTATTTTTGGGTAACTTTTGTGAATATGCGTGAAATTGTTGTTCGTTATTTTTTCAAGTTCCGCCTGTAGGGGCGCCTCGGCGCCGCCGTCGCTGCTCGATCCTCCGCCCCCCCCCCTGCACCACACAGGCCGCCTGGATCCCCAGGTCCGCCTGCGCGTGGCGCTGCCGCCGCTGCGTCCGCGCGCTGCCGCTACCCTTTTCTGGGTGCCGCGATGCCGCCGTCGTTGGTCGTCGATCCTCGAGACCTTCCCGCGCGGACCATTGAAACGCAGAATTGTGTGGCCGGAGTTCGGGAGGTCATTATGAGATTTCGTGGATGGTATCGTAGTGTTTCTTCTTCTTCTTTTCGTCTCCCTCCCTCCCTCCCTCCCTCCTTCTTCTCCTCCGTCCCTCCCCACCACTTCTCCCTCCTCCCTGCACAGGCCGCCCAGATCCCGGGTGCCGCCTGCGCGTGGGGCTGCCTCTGCGCCTGCGCGCTGCTGCTGCGCCTCCCGGCGCCGCGGAGCCTCCGCGCGAAGCCGTGGTGCGGGCGGAGGTCCCCAGCGCAGGCCAGACCCTCCTCTCGAGCAGCGGAAGGTCATTCATCGAGCAAAAAAGGACCCCCAACCCGAATGATACAATGAAGGCGTGGCCTCACTGAGGTCCCTGTCTTCGCATTCGGGATAACAATGTTGGGCGGTTTTGCCCGACACATCTGCAGGGAAAAAAGACCCCCTATTCTTAACGTGTCTGGCCCTCCTCATTATGGTCCCAACCCAAAGGGTTAGGGATCCTTTTTTGGTTCATCATTCATGTGGTTCCAAGAGAAGCTCCAAGCCAAGGAAAGGTCTTGTGAGACGGGCGATCCCGATTGCTCAAGTCCGCTCGGCTCCGCCCGCAGGGTCGTCGTCGCTGGACGCCGTCACTCGCTTTCCGAAGGCTCAAGTGCAACGCCGCGTCTCAAAAGTCACTTCCGCTGGCGTCCCCCGAGGAAACGCATCGAGCTTGACACACACATGAGCCTCTGGAGGTCCACGCTGATCTCTTGGATTGGCGGTGAAGCCCCCCCCCCCACTCGACGCGCGAAGCGCGCCGGGGGCGCGGCGCCGGGCGCGCCGCCAGAGAGCTCCGGCGCCGACCCAGAAGTCCGCGCGGACCTCCGAGAGCTAATGTTTTCAAGAGTTTGCTCCTCGATGCCCTCCCTGTGCGAGGACCAAGGGTCGAGAGGAGGAGGAGGAGGAGGAGGAGGAGGAGGAGGAGGAGGAGGAGGAGGAGGAGGAGGAGGAGGAGGAGGGAGGGTCGTGTGGGTTGTTTCTTGGTTGCCCGGCCCTGTTAGGCCTTGGGGGGCTCCCCTTGGCCACGTCCTGGGGTCCTCGCGAAGTTCTTGGCAGCACTCGCTCCACGAGAGGTCCAGGATCGGTCTTCTGGGGTCACCATGGAGAGGGGTCCTGAGGAAAAGAGCTCCTGTGATTCGAAATCGATTCCGACCCATCTTGTAGCACCTGGAAAGGGTATCGCAGAAACGCTTGCGCGGCTCCAGGTCAAGAGCGCGAATGTGAGAAAGAATCGCCCTCCGTCCTTCCATCTATATAGCTGCGAGATGCGGTCAAGAGCTGGAACACACACATGAAGCTGGATTCACATGATGCTGCCAGCCTGGACGAGGGCTGGAACACACACACACACACACACACACGCACACACACACGCACACACACACACACACGGACGCGCACACACGCACACACAGACACACACAGACACACACACACACATTCCACACACACACACGTCCCACATGACTTTCCAGCGCTCGTCCTTCCCATGGCCGTGCACGCCAGGCTGCCGCATGTGTGCCCAGCGCGAGGCCCCGATGTTCCACGTGTGTTCCAGCGTCTTGGCCTTAGAGGAAGCTGCTGCCGAAGGACACATTATGACATGTGCTGCCATCCATTCACCAACATACGAGTGATGTTGCAGCGTTCATGCTAGATTGTTAGAATGCGACAGGATGTTTCTCGCAATGCCACATGTTTAAGCTGGCCCGATCTGCATTCGCGTACGCAGCTGTCGGACGCGAAGAAGTCGAACGGGCCCTGCGAATAAGCGATAGCCACATACAGAAAACGGCACGCCCTCCATCCATGTAGTTGTTGTGAGCTCTCAATACGAATGCGTGCGAAGCTAATGCGAGAGCCACATTTTGGAAAAGAGCGTCATGGAAGGACGCTGAACATGTAAATGCGTTCTCGCTCTCATTATTTCTCTCTCTCTCTCTCTCCCTCTTTTCTCGTTTCTTTGGTATCTCTCTCCCACTCTCTCTCTCTCTCTCCCTATCTCAGCCGTGTTGCGCTCTAGTAGCGTTGCTGGCGCCATTCTTCAAAATGCACGAGGTGTCAGCGGACTAATTCGATTGTTTGCTCAACATGTCTCGCCATGGCGGCGCTCGGCAAGGGAGGCTGCGGCGAAGGCCATGGACCTCCGTGGCACAGCTACCTTCCGCCATGGCGCTATGCCCATGTGCACTACTACGGTGGCCAGTTCGGGTTCATCGGGCGTGGGCAGCAGTCATTCCTCCCCGATCGCTGGAGTTGCGTGCAGTTCAGGTGCGCCAGTACCACGTTCGTGTCTTCCTGCTGCAAGCTTTGCGGTGCGGATCGTTAAGCAACTGCGCCGGCCCCACGATCATGGTCCCCGTGGCGTGTGGTCTAATCTTCGTGGGCAACTTCTTTCTCGTGGCTGGCTGTATCGCCCCTCGTATATGGCAAGCCCTCCCATCTGGTCCTCAGCTACTCGCGCTTCAGGGAGCAGATTCGAGAGCGACCACCCACGGCCAAGGCGAAGCCCCAGCCAAAGTCGCTTCAAGAGCAACGTTCGCATCTGGACCGCAAGACTGCGAAGCTGGACAAGCAGATGGAAGGCAAGCGTGCCAAGTACAAGGGATGGGTGGAAAACGTGCCCAAACAGGATAGCTACCTCAACGACCTACTGGCCGAGTCCAAGTGCTTCATCGAACAGAGTCCTGTCCTCTTGGCCAAGCTCCGCGCCTCAGTCGTGCCCGTCGAGCCCGCTGCTCCAGCTCGCGCCGCCGCTGGGCCAGTTCTCTCTGCGCGACCTTTTGGCGGGGAAGGTTTCAGACGCCGCCATTGACGGCGGCTTCCTGCTCTGCGAGAGCGCCCCTCACAAAGCCGAGACTGTCAGGAAGGTGCGCGAGGCGCACCTCAAGCGCATCGCTGGCAGGCGTCGGCGGGGCATCGACGGAGATTCTCGCGTGGGCCGCGGAGGCTCGTCAGGCAGCGGCGACGCTGGAGGAGTTGCGCCCGCGACGTCCGCGGCGCTTGGAGGCGTCGTCGAGGTGGGCCGCGGCGATAGCCACGCAGCTGCGCCCGAAGGCTCGCCGGCCGAACGTATTCGCGACGCTGTTGCGGCCGTCGCCCAGCGTTTTCAGTCGCAGGCGGAAATCGGCCAGAGCATTCATGTTTTTTTGTTGCTCGGCCCGTGTTCACCCGGGATTTCTTTCCCCGCTATTGTTTCCTCGCCATCGGAACTTATGGTTTCAGAGCGCCGCGGGGAGGGGGTGAAATAGACCCACCCCTCGATCATCTTTCGCGCTCCGTCCTAGGCTTAGGCCGCAGCAGTCTCCAAGGTGGCCAGCATCTGTCGACGGGGGCCTCTCGCGCCTCCCCCTCGCCCCGAGGCCGAGTCGTTTCGTCTGAGCGTCTCTTCCGTCAACGGCACTTCGCGGGGGTCGGCGAAGACTGGCTGCCCAGCGTCAATTCAGGGCTTGCTCTTGTCCAGTAGCACAACCTCGTGTCTCAGGAGGCTGTGGATCGCTCCTCGGCCGCGGGCTTGCGCCTGGGTTTCAAGAGTTTGTGGGCGCCGGCCGCCGCGGGCCTTTGAGGAGGGCCCTCGGCCGATGTAGCTGTTCTCTGCGAGGCCCACTCGGGGTTGCATGTGCTCTCTGCCAGGGGCGGACCCCAACCGAGCCATGACGGCTCTGGCCCGCGCCCCTCAGGGGTGGGGGTCCAGATTTGTTAGGTTCACCATGGGGGTTCAGAGGGCTTCTCCGAGGAAAAGATTGAGTGACTCTCTGGCGGCGATTGGGGAGGCGGGGCCCACCCGCGGGAGTCTTTTCTTGGCGGGGGGTGACTGATAGATTTAGCCTTCAGTCTCGGTGGAGTCAGCCCACATCAGCTCTCTCATCGGACAGGTCCTCTGCAGCGGCAAACCCACCTGCTTTTAGGGGTGAGAAGCGTGACTATTTCGGTTTGTCTTCGGGAGTGGCGAAGGCGACCCAGGGCATCACCCTTCTTGATGATGCGGGTTTATTCCCTCCACCTTCCCTTTCGTCTCGACCTTTGCGCGGGCGTCGCTAGCTTGCGCCGCCTCGCTTTCGGGAGGCCGCCCCCGCTGCCCGTTATGCCACCTCGCGGGGCCTCAGCCCGTCCCTGTGAATTTCGAGCGCGTTTATGCCCATCAGCTGCAAGCCCTCAGTCGCGCTCCTTGTGGAGACGACGCGCAGATGACATCCGCGCTCTTTTTCTTTAGCGAGGCGCGTGCGCCCTGGGCTGCACTGGCGGAGCGGGAGCTGGCCAAGACGCGCGGGGGCACGTCTGTCGAGAGGTCGATGGGGCATGGGCGCATCCTCGCGAAAGACATGGGTTGTGCCTGGTGCCCCGACCTCCGCGCCTGCCGCTGGCGGGCCAGGACCTTCAAGCGTTGCGTTAGTGCCCCCAGAGCGGACTGGCCCCTGGCCCGCGACGCGGCCCGAATTCCGGCGTCGCCCCCCATGGCTCGCGCAAGTCCATTCCCCACGAGGGGCCCGAGGAGGTCCCCGAGGTTCCGCGTTGCGGTGGGCCCCCCCTGGCCCTTCTTGAAAGAGTTTCTAAGTTTGCTTCGGATTGCCGCGCGCGGCATATCCGAAAGCACGGCCCATGCTCGAGCCGAATGCGTCGGCAAGGTTTTTTCAGGGTTCGCGGAAAGATGTTCCAGTTTTTACCCGGCCCAGGCTTGCAATGATTGGACCACTTGGTTGACGGACCAAGTGGCTCAAGAAGGATGGAGGGCGCAGTCTTCCACGAGGGATCCGCAGGCTTGGAAGGCCAGCGCCACTCTCTGTCTGCTCCACGGGCCGCTATGTTGCCGAACCTTGCCGTCGCTCTTGGCCGACGAGGCCTTGCGCTTCCGCGGTTTATGGGAGGCGTTGGGGATCCCAGTCACGTAGGCTGGCGCGGTCAGCGTCCCTCTGCCTTGAACAGGAAGCCGCCAAGAAGTATGGCTGTGAGGGTTCTGAGCGGGTTGCGTGTTGACGTCGCGGCGGCCATTCGGTCCAAGAAATTCACCGCCCAGGGAAAACGAGCCATTCGTTGTCTTGCCTGCCAAGGCTTCTGGCCTCTAGCTAGGGCCTGCGAGGCGGGGTGCGACGTCGATGGCGTCTGTCCGTTCTGCACCCCCCCCCCGGGGGCCGCTGTTCTACAGGAGATGGGTTTGCCCGCGTGTTGCCGAGAAGCACGCTGCCATCCCCCCCCCGCCTTTCCTGGGCACCATCATGAAGAGCGTGGAAGCGGGCGGCGGGGCAACTCCGTTCGAGCTCGTTCCGGGCCTCACCCTGCAGTTTTTGGTGTTTGACCCCCTCCCTTCCCCGATCATGGGGGTTTCGAGGCCGAAGGCTTGGCTGCCCCCTCCCCCCCTCGACCCCTCCAGCATGTGGGCGCGCGTTAGTTTGGATGGGTCGTGCACGCAGAGAGCGGCGCGCGCTCTCAACAGGGCGGGTTGGGGATTAGCCGTGCTGGGGCCGTCGGGCCAGTTGCCGTCGATGGCCCGGGGCCCAGTCTGGGGCCCTTTCCCTCAGAGCCCCCAGGCTGGAGGGTTCACGACCTATGCTCAGGTCGGGCCTGTCCCTCTACAGGGGGAATCTTCAAAAATAGTACGGCGCAGCGACGGCAGACCTACAGGAAAGACTGCCGCAAGCCAGAAGCCATCGGAGGGAGACAGACAAAACGAGCGAAAGGGCTCGGGCGACGGGCGCGAGAGGGGGGGCAGCGACAGCGACAGGTAACCAGCACACCCACGCGCACACTTTTTCGCGTCGAGGCCTTGCGCGCGGCGACAGGGCGTAGAAGGTTGGCCACCGTGGAGGCACGCTCGTCTACGCCCGGCCCAGCCCTCGGAGACCACTTCGGGTCTCGCAGCCGCACCCACGCACACACACACATTTAGTTACGCAAGTGGCTTCACGTTACGTTTGGGCATGCGTCTGCAAAGGGAGGAGGGCAATCGGGC